GTATAATTCCACTATACATGAAATGCTATCATGATTAAATCCCACAGTGTTGTTGTTATACAGTAAGTAATATTTACTGATGACCACGTTTCAAGCACAGTTTACCATTGCTGCTCATAGTCATCATATATACCAAGGAACTACTCACACAACTCACTTTCTTGCGTCGTCGTTTATATACATGACTAAATATTGATGATTACACATTTGATTGAATAAAATCAGTAATATAAGATAAAGTACATTCAGAAATAATAATAATATGAGTATTCAAGTGTTGGTTTGTAGGGATTTGATTGGTTTCAGGATTTCATCATGAGCTGACATTAGTTAGAGAACCATTGGAACTTCAATTCGGTCGCGCTATGTCGTGAATCGGCAGAAGTTAGAATTCAAGGACCATTGGATCGGGTCCCAGTGGCTTAATGGTATACAAGCTCGCCTTGTAACCGGAAGGTCCTGCGTTCGAATCCCGGTGGGTGCGTACTGATGAAGAGTCCCAAACTAGGACGAAACAGCTGTCCACTACTCCCAGGTTTTCCAATGGTTCTCTAACTAATGTCAGCTCATGATGAAATCCTGAAATAATATGAGTGTTATCAATCAATTACAATCAGATGGGAAATAAGACGAGTGTTTTTGTAGTTAAAATAAATAGGTGACTTGTTAGAATGTGACATTATTTATTATCCTCCTGTGATTTGACTGACTGACCGACTGACCGGTGGTAATAATACCTTCCATATCTCTGGTATTAGCGATGATGAGTCACTTCTATTGCATGTGTTGGGTGTAGATTCACTCGATGAACCAGACAGGATTCAGTACTCAATCTCTCTCCCTCTCTCCAACCACCTACATAGATTACTTCTTAGAATTTTAACCCTCTCCCATCCACCATGTTGCGTGGTTGTGTGTTAATGCATGCAGTGAGATTGCTGAGTTTTTCCTCTAAATTACTCATCTTCGCGGGTGGGATCAATCACTCTAAGCTTAGGTAAATTCTTATGTTCTGATAATCTCACCACACTCGACCTACTAGTTTGACTTATGTAGTTGACTTAACTCAGTCATTGTAGGGTATTTTGTGAATTATATTATTCTGTCTATTTGGAACAGATGGGAAAATATGACTGTTTATACGTTTAATTCAACTCCTAAAGTATGGTGGAGATATGTGGATGACACTTTCACACACAGTGTTAAAAACAGAACATATAAGGAGGGGACATGTGAGACCCTACGTAGGATTCTCAATAAAGCAGGAATTAGGGTGCCATTCAAATATAAAAACTCACTCAGGTAGGACAAGCTCTTTAGGCTAAAAGACCCGGTGGACCCAACTAAAAAAATAATATAGTTCACAAAATACCCTACAATGACTGAGTTAAGTCAACTACATAAGTCAAACTAGTAGGTCGAGTGTGGTGAGATTATCAGAACATAAGAATTTACCTAAGCTTAGAGTGATTGATCCCACCCGCGAAGATGAGTAATTTAGAGGAAAAACTCAGCAATCTCACTGCATGCATTAACACACAACCACGCAACATGGTGGATGGGAGAGGGTTAAAATTCTAAGAAGTAATCTATGTAGGTGGTTGGAGAGATGGAGAGAGATTGAGTACTGAATCCTGTCTGGTTCATCGAGTGAATCTGCACCCAACACATGCAATAGAAGTGACTCATCATCGCTAATACCAGAGATATGGAAGGTATTATTACCACCGGTCAGTCGGTCAGTCAGTCAAATCACAGGAGGATAATAAATAATGTCACATTCTAACAAGTCACCTATTTATTTTAACTACAAAAACACTCGTCTTATTTCCCATCTGATTGTAATTGATTGATAACACTCATATTATTATTATTATTATTATTATTTCTGAATGTACTTTATCTTATATTACTGATTTTATTCAATCAAATGTGTAATCATCAATATTTAGTCATGTATATAAACGACGACGCAAGAAAGTGAGTTGTGTGAGTAGTTCCTTGGTATATATGATGACTATGAGCAGCAATGGTAAACTGTGCTTGAAACGTGGTCATCAGTAAATATTACTTACTGTATAACAACAACACTGTGTGATTTATCAAAATAAAAATTTTGATCCATAAGAGGGAGAGAGATCTTATTTACCACGATGGATTCACACATTTAGATCCAGTAAAATGAAGCAATCACATTCCAATATAGAGTGTGCAAATGTTATCGATTTATTTTTATTTCCCTTCACGTTCCCCAGTGGAACATAGCGAGGGCTTCAAGCTACAAGCTTGAAGTTTCTGTAGCAGTGTTTATTATTTTTACAGGATGGGGTTGCTAGCCTTATGCCCAACCTTTCCTCTTTACCAGAATTATTTCTGGCTTAGCGAGGTAAAGGAGTGCGTCCAGTGGCCGGGTATCTAACCATGTACGTAGTCGGCGAGCGTCCTAAGCGCTATGCCACCGACGCACTATCGATTTATAGGGAAATAAATTTTTCATCCGAAATATAATTGCAAGCGTTTAACCTCTCCTTCCTCCTCGCCTCACTCCCCTTTTCTCTGTAAAATAAAAATTCAGCGTCAGTTTGTAGTAAAAACAAAAATCGGGAACTTATCTTCAACGTACACCATGATTTAACCTCAGTTAGTGAGCACTATTCATCACAGAAGAGGAGAATGAGACGCTTATTATCAATAATTTTAGGTAACAAAGGATAAATGAAGGTGAAGTGTTTATTTGTGTAATGAAGCGATTATTTGAAATAAATCCCTCCTGGATGATGTAATCACAATATTTGTACTTACTTACAAGTTTGACAGCAGTCAGTTTAGAGGACTTGAAAATCCTCATTGAGCTGCATAAAAGAAAAGACATTCAGCGAGGAGTTTCGGCGATATCAGTCTCAAGCCGTATAATCGAATATATATATATATATATATATATATATATATAAAATTCCCTTAGCAACAAAACGAATATTTTTTCAAAGATTTGCAGTTAGAATTGTAAATTTTTTTGAATGAAGTTGAGTGATGTAATATAATTGTGTCGGTTGAGTAGAATCCAACCCAAATCGAACTACGGTTTTGTTAATAACAGTGGTAACAAGGGTGGAGAGAGAAGAAAAATAATACAATTAAGCAACGAAAAAAACAAAAAATTACGTGTCTAGTGTTAAGACAGATCAGGCCCACTGTAGATTTACTTAATGACTGTGAATAAACGTCTTTGGAATGTAGAGTTCAGGATTTAATATGTGAGTTTCCATTGTTCCGTGAGGTTTGAAGAAGTTTGATTCGTACACTTTTAGCGAGATTCCCACATATTCTATAGATAACTTTGAAGTTCCTGTGTTGGTTAGCTTGGTGTCCAGACTCAATCGGGTGTTCTAGGATAAAAAAACGGCGGGGGCGGCGGAGAGGTTACTAACTCCACGCCAGTGACTGGCTACTGGATGCAGTTGTCTCAAGTTCTAGTGAGAAGCTATGACTTGTGGAGTTCATCCGGTCGGAAGTGAGGACAAATACTCAATGCCAGTGACATCGGTTAGTGGCAGTCGCCCTTAAATCAGGAACTAGTAGAAGTTACAGTTCTTGGGCTGTCTCCATTGAGTTGCATCCTAGTGGCTGAATAGTCGGTGAGCTTAACTTGTAACCAGAAGGTCCTGGGTTCGAATCCTCTCGATGGATGCCTATCGATGCCTATGCGTCAGATCAAGATTAGTAGGGATAAACAGCTTTCAAGCATTATGCAGCTGGTTTTCAATGGTTCTCAAACTGATATCAGTCAATCCGTGATCAACCTTGAAACAAATCAGATCCCTAGAAACTTCCTCTTATTTGGATGCCTAACGGCACTGCTGAGAACCACAGAGTTATCGACAAATAATTGTCTTGTTTTTCTGTGTTCTCAGCGTTTTGTAACTATGAGTCTTTCAAGAAAGTCTGTAACAGCTATACAGTAGGATGCAGAGATCAGTCTACTGAGCTCAAACTACAATGATTCGATTTCGATTGTAACAGTAAGCCTACATAGATATTGAGAGTTTACGAACAAGACACTTTTGAATGAATCATTCAAGATTCTGAACACTGTAAACTATTAGACTCAATTGATAACCAAATTGTCATTGTCTATAATCTTCACGAACGGCTAAGAGAGGATGTTGGGCTGACTGTATGACTGTTCATTTAATGTCATCTTCCCGTGTGAATGCTAATCAAACCAGAGGTAATGAATAATGCCTTTTCAAGTGTTGGTTTTTGCAGGATTTCATCATGATAAGCTGACATCGGTTAGAGAACCATTAGAAAACCAGTCAGGGAGTACTGGACAGTACTGCCTATTTCGTCCTAGTTTCGGACCCCGCTTCAGCAGTACACACTCACACCATGGGGTTAGAACCCAGGAACTTCCGGTTACAAGACACGCTCGCAGACCTATTAAGCCACTGGGACCGCATCCAGTGGTCCACCAGATGGAATTCAGGGAGATGATGTAAGCGCTGTTCACGATAAAGCGATTATTATATTATTATTGATATTCTTTATCGGCACCTATTATAGGTGCGTCGGTGGCATAGCGCTTAGGACGCTCGCCGACTACATACATGGTCCGGGGTTCAATCCTCGGCCACCGACACACTCCTTTACCTCGCTAAGCCAGAAATAATGCTGATACAGAGGAAAGATTGAGCATGAGGCTAGTAACCCCATCCTGTAAAAATAATAAACGCTGCTACAGAAACTTCAAGCTTGTAGCTTGAAGCCCTCGCTATGTTCCGCTGGGGAACGTGAAGGAAAAAAACTACAGGCACTTCAAATCAATCAAATAACGCTGGGAAATCGTCAAAGCATCCCTATTTAGTGGAGACATGTGAACAGAGTCCCAGGGTATTTCAGTTCACATTAGAAATCGTCCAAAGAGGGGGGGGGACACAATAATTTAAAATATATCTCATATTATTATTAGTAATAATAATAAACAAAGTAGCATGACTCACTCGACGATGGATACGGAGTTATCCTTTTAATCTCTTGATGGTGATGATGATTATGAGTTGGTGGACTGTGAGCAGATTTCTTCTGCTGAAAATGTTCTTCAACCATCATTTCAGTACGTGAAATTTTACGTCGACTGGTATATCTTGATGGAAGTTGGCCGGTTAATTTCGGGGGATTTAAGAAATTCATAGTAGTATGAACACTATTACTATTGCTACTATTATTATTATTATTATTATTAACTGTATTAGAATCAGGATTATTTGTCTTCATAGATTGATTGATACGTAGACCATGCTTAATCTCTCCATCTTCTACGTTCGCATGTTCTTCCACATTTAGTCCATTATTATTGTTATTATTATTACTACCGTTATTACCATCGAGATCCTCATCTTCATCGATTATAATACTGCTACTACTATCACCATCATCATTATCATCACCGTCACCGCGGCCACTTCCACGATGACCGTCATCATTTTCATTATTATCCCCATCATCATTGATTCGGCGTTGGTTATTATCAGGCGTAAAATGTTGTTTCAGACTTGTCAGCCTTGTTGTAGTATCTTTAACATTCCAATAGTTTAATGCCTCTGACGATGATGACGATAAGGCGTAAAGTTTATGAGGTGATAATAGCATGCTAGGGATTGATGTTAATGATGGTGTCATTGGTGTGATAATGGGGGGAATTGACATCTCAGTTATCGTGTTATGCATAGTGATACTGTTATTACCATTATTGTTATTCATATTATTATTATTATGTATATTATTATTGTTATTATTACTGTCATTATGAATATTATGAAAGTTATGCTGTTCATTCATTCTTATTAATGTGGACGATATATTAGAGAATCCATTAAGTTGCATGATAGATAGTAATCAGAGAGTTAGTATTATTATTCCACAAATTCAATGTGTTCAATGCGTTCAACAAGGTTGATTTTTGTTTGTTTAAACAACGTAAATATGTAATAATAATAATAATAACTCAAAATATCCCATATAATAGTTAGTTATAGTATACTGTGCCTTGTTTCTGCTTAAAATAACTTCTTTCCTATAATCTAACTTCTGCATACTAAATATATATATATGTGAACAAAAAATGACAAAATGAAGCGAATATCCTAACCTAACAATTACACTGACATTATACACCTTCTTCCCTCCCCCCCACACACACACCCACCTACCCTACCTCTACCCTTTCTCTGTTTTAAGGCAAACACTGTTTATTCTGATAAATCAGAAGTCATTGCCTTTCTATAATTGGTGGAGTCATTTCAATGCGTTTTAGCTTTTTAATTGGTTCTTATATTATATATATGTATGTAATACTCACTACACACACCATGCGATTTATTTGTTCGCATTCATTCATTTGGCGACCAATCAAAATTCAGTAAATTGCAATAAAATGATACTTGAACCAATAAACGATAAGTTGTTTTCATGCATGCCTGTGTGTTGATTGTTTGCATCACTTTTTAAGTCAAGTTGTTCAGAACACCAGAAGGCATAAATGTTTTTGAAAATTAATCGTAACATGGTAGTACTTTATATATATATATATATATATTGTGGGTTACTTAAGAAAGAGTTTGTGACATTGCATAGGGCACTTAAAACTGTCCATAGGGAAGGGGAGTGTTAATACTGTTGCTGACAGACACTTGAACTCATGAAAAAAATTGGGGAATATCATCTTGTCGAACTCCTAGCATCCTCTCTGTACACAAATCTCCACCACGCTGCATGTCAGCAGCGTGCATATTTCCCACCCCCCACCCCGTATTATGTAATGTAAAGGGAAGGTTAGGTGAAAATTAGATGATTGGAGGCAATCGGCCACAGGAAGCCTTGCCTGACCTAGGTTTCGTGTTGGTTGGCACTCACCAATCAACCATGTGACGTATCTGCAGCCTGGAAGGAACTCATGTCCCTTTCCAAGAGAGTTGAACCCGCGTCACCTAGTGCTGCTTACAGTTAGAGACGTTACCACTGAAAGCTATTCGGCCTCGCGATTGACCTCCTCCTGTAGGACACTAGTGTGATGTATCTAGTCCTTCCCTTGTCAGAGACAATCGGCAGCATTGACGGGGGGGGGAACTCGGATTCGAATCTCAGAGGGGATATAAGTCCCTTCAAGGCTGCACATACGCCTTGCTGACGAGTGCCAGTTAGGATGAAACCTAGGTCAAAGGCTTCCTGTGGCCGATTGCCTCAAACTATCTAATATCATTAAATCAATGTGCATCGTGATGGGCAGCTACATAGTGGCATGGTGGCCACATTGCAAACCTGACTGATAGAATTATAACCTTCACCAAAGAAAGGACTAGACATATCACACTAGTTACTAGTGTCCAGTCAAAGGTTAGGTGAAATACTGCACTACATGCTGAAGGTTCCCCTTGATTGTGCCGGAAGTACTGTTTGGAACAAAGCCATCATTTTATGGATATGTCACTTGAAGCCGTATCACACATTTATCGTTTCCTTACTTCCAATGAAGTAATCTTTATTTCATTTGAAGATATAGATATTTGTATATATATCTTTGTCAAATGGACCCTGTTCCATTGACCCATTTAGACAAAATCATGTAATCAATCTACAAAATACTTAATCAAGTTTTAGATTTTCCCGTCGATTTATTGGACCGAAGTACTCGATCTCAGGTTGACATATCACCTCCTTGTGCAGATGTTTCGATGATGTCTGGTTATGTAACTTGGAGTCAACTGGTGGATGATGATTAGCAGTGACTAGCAATTCTTCCTATCTGGGACTCGTTAGTTGGATGTATTTACATTCCACAGTGATGAGTGATGATGTTCCCACTGAGGCTCTAACCCATAGCCCATAGTTTCAAACTCCAAAGTGTTATCCTCTAGCCGCCTTAGGCCACGAGAGCCACCACCTCTTGTGCGACAGGTAATATTAATTATTTAATTCAATTTAGAGGTGGCTTTCGTGGCTCAAGTGGTCTAATGGATAACACTTCAACGTTTGAGTTCGAGTCTCGGTGGGAACAAAATCACTCGATGACTGCGGAATGCAGGTACATCCAGTCGACTAGTCCCAAAATATGACGAAATCCGCGTTGTCCTGGATTCCACTGGTAGTCACCATTCACCAATTAACTTCTACTCTACCAAATGTCTTACAATGATTGTGAGGTCAACTTCATAGGTTGATCATAGGCAGTCAGACTATCCGAACATAAGTGTAAAATGAAGATGAAACCCCATGAAGATGAATAGTTTAGACTCAGAAGTTTCAATCAAACAACAGGATGGGACACAGCCAAGGTTCTACAAAGTAATATGCATAGATGGAGATAGAGAAAGGAAGAGAGGGACAGAGGTCGACAACATTCACTAGGAATGACACAGCACACCGATACGAGAAGTGTTGAAAATGATATTGGCAACCAATCAAATCAAAGGATAAGAAATAATGGAACTTCGACCAGAAAAAAAAGAGCAAACATTTGTGCACAATAACATGGATGCATTTAATTTCATTGGTTCTCATCAGCTGCATACAACTTATAATCTTTAATAAATAAAGGTTACCGTACAATTTAACATACTTTTGTCATCAACAAGCGTATTATAAGAGTGTCATAGTGAGGTATATATATATAATTATTCCCTTGAGTTCCGAGTGGAACATAGGGCTTCAGCAACACATTTCCACTTTGTTCTTTTCCCTACGGTCCTCTTCAGCTAGGTCCACAACTGCCCATTGTTCTCTGATCTCCTTTTCTCAAGACCTCCTCCATGTCAGCCTCTGAACGACGACGAACTCGTCGCTTCCCATTCAAATTCCACCCGAGTGATAGCCTGCATTGCACGTGATGTCATTCGACGGCCTTTTTCAACGTATCCCCTAGGTTAATCCATCTCCATTCTGTCCTACATATTGATTGAGTGATCGGCTTTCGCCTTTTGGTTTCCTTCAAGCCGAGATTTCTTGTTGCTAATTCTTTCTAGCCAGTCGGTCGGTCGGTCGGCCTTTTGATCTTCAGTAGGGGGAGCCAGCTAGCGAAGTCGGCAGATATTGATCCTTTTCGTGATATGCAGCACAAGTTTCTGACCCGTATAAAAGAATTGACTGACTGACAGGCTGACTAGACCTTTTGTTTTGGAAATTTGAATATCTTTCGTTATTCTGAGTCAGTGTAGAAAATATACAAAAACGGGTTTCAGGTTGATGATGATGATGATGTGCTGCCTTGTCTTTCAAATTCTGACTGACTGACTGACTGGTTGGCTGGCTTGTGTTTTGACATCTTCATCGGTGCTAGCCGACTACCTGTACTTGAAACGATGCTGAAACCAGGAAATGACCTCTGTCGAATGTTCATTCTTTCTCTTCTCAAAATTATAATAAAGGATCTCTTTTATGAAATAGGTGAAGTTTGAAAATTCTCTGAATACATGTCGGAGTATGAGATAATGAACAATATTAATCTGCTTGAAATGTAGTCACTAGACAATGATACCTTATCACTATGTGGGCTTTTTTTTATCAAAAAAGTTTATTCTATAATGGAATTAAACTCTGTCTAGGGACTTGTTATTATATCACCGAATTTAATTTAAACTTCTTTTAAAAAATATTTAATTAAATTTTTAAATTTTGCACATCGATTGATTGGACCGAAGTGTTCGGTCTTAGGTTGACATGTCTATCAGCTTCTTGTGCAGATGTTTCGATGATTAATTAGAATTTAATTGATTCATGGTGACTAGCAGTGGAATCCAGAACAACACGCATTTCGGCCTATTTGGGACTCGCATCAGCTGGATGTATCTGTATTGATTTAGAAGGCAAAATCGCTTGTGTTAGAAAAATATTCAGAGTCAAGAAATGGATTGGCCCCTCTAATCGTCTAGGTTAAGAAAACTAAAACATGGCGGCTGGTTTGAATTACTGGGGCTGCTCGAATTTCCTGTCCCCATTGAAATGCATCCTTTGTACTGCATTTTGAAACAGTTCTAATCTTCTATTTACCCCCCTTCTAATAAGCCGCAATCTATACTTCCGTACACACAGTTTCAATCCACTGTTAGAAAATTTTTCGAGAAGGACGTAGACGAAGAACATTGTGATGGAATGTCAGTGAAACACAAACTTCGGATGGAATTATAATAATATTATTATTATTATTATCATAGATTATTATATATGTGAGGATTCTACACGACGAAGAGATACCTTCCAATGGGACTGGCATTTCTTTTCAGAATTTATTATTTATTATTATTATTTTTCTATAGCTTAGTTTCTAAGGGTTAGATATGTTCTTAGGAGTTGATCATGGATTGATAACAGTTAGAGAATCATTGAAAACCAGTCAGGGAGTACTGGACAGCTGCTGTTTCGTCAGCCTAGTTTGGGAATCATCGGAAGTACGCACCCACACACCATGGGGTTCGAACCCAGGACCTTCTGGTTACAAGGCAAGGTGGCTTGTATGCCATTCAGCCACTGGGACCCGATTCAATGGCCAGTCTATAAATGCTAACTTCTACCAATTCGTGATTCAGCGTGACAGGCACCAACCATTGTCGTTGGTGGGACATCCATCCACACACGCGACATTTGATTGGACCTCACTGTGGTCACGACTTCTCACTAGAACTCCAGGAGACTTCATCCTGTAGCAAGTCACTAGCGATTATTCCCAAACTAGGATGAAACAGCTGTCCGCTAGTGACTTTCTACAGGTTGGTGTTTCCTGGAGTTCTAGTGAGAAGTCGTGACCACAGGGAGGTCCAATCAAATGTCACGTGTGTGGATGGATGTCCCACCAACGATAATGGTCGGTACCTGTCGCGCTAAATCACGAATCGGTGGAAGTTAGAATTCATGAAGTGGCTATTGAATCAGGTCCCAGTGGTTGAATGGTATATGAGCTTGCCTTGCCTTGTAACCAGAAGGTCCTGGGTTCGAACCCCATGGTGTGTGGGTGCGTACTTCCAATGATTCCCAAATTACTATTATTATTATTATTATTAAAAGCATTGGAATTTCATTACTCAGCACTAAGACGATTAAAGTACATACTACTTAATGGTTTTTCAGTAATATAATATATTTGGCGATGAGTGCGTACTGCTGAGTCAAAGTTCCTAACTA